ACCAGTGAGGGTGCTTGGACCAAGAGAAAGGCCTCCTTTGATAATCGTAAAGCCTGGGCAGGCTCATGGAGGGAGATGTGGCCTTTTAGATAGCTAGGTTAAAACCAGCACTTTGGATTGTGCCCAGAAACAAGATTGGCAGCCAGTGGAGTTGCAGGAACAGGGGAGTTATATGTTCTTGGTAACCAGCCCCAGTTAGCAATCTTGACTGCAGCATTTTGGAAAGGAATAAGGATGATCAGCATGACTTGGTAGGTTAGGATGTCATGTAACTGCTGCTGGTGGGGTTGGACCCATTATTGAGCATGTGTGAATTGACCAGGGGTTTCTCAATAAAGTCAATGCTGGGGTTGGATCTCGAGGCCTGACAATGCTTTGTGAGAATGTAAAAGGGTCAACATGGGCACAGTTTCACACATAGGGTTGTCAGGTCTCAAGGAATTGCTACTCATTAAAATGAATGGAATGTAAATCCATGCAGCTATGTGTGGGTCGTGATGCCAAATGGTATCTGAAGCTTTTCCCATAGGATGAAATGAGCTTGTTTCTCACTATATGACTTCTAATCTAGCAAAGGTGGTTAGGGGCAGAAGGAGAAAGATGTGATATGATTAGGACTCCATTCTCAATTATCTGACTAAATTAATTGACTAAATTATGATTACCAGTTGCTTCCTGGATCCAGTTGAATGTGCTGGTTTTAAACCTTGAATCCCTCAGTGGCTTGAGGACTGACTTTTTGAAGCATCTCATGTCTTAGAAACTTGTTCAGACACTGAGAGTTTATGGAGATTGCCATCTTCTGAACAGGCAACACCAGACTAACTTTGGTTGTTACTCCCAGACTGAAGACTGTGCTTCATTTGGAATTGCTAATGTTTCCCACGATCCTTAATTTTAGGAAAGAAAAGAAGACAAAACTTTATAATCTGGGATTTTAAGCTTTGTAAAAAAAAATTTTGTGTGTGATTATTGTAATCCTGTTTGTTGTTTCTAATAATTGGATTTAGGCCTTTACATATTGTTTCAATGGAAAATGGGATGCTTCAAGTGTGAAAGAGGCAAAATTACATTTAAGGCTTATGTTTTGATGCCTGCTACAATTAGAAAAATCCAATTTTATCTTCTATGATTGGTGCTTGTTAATTATGCTGGGTTGTGTTCTTCAGTTTTCTTATCCAGTGTAATATATGGAATCTTATCTCAGATTAAGAATTTGCATGGCAAACATTTCAAATTTAGTTATCTTGGTGCTTATTAAATTTATAATAGAACCAAACCATCTATGTGGCTTATTCGACTGTATCTCACAACAGTGAACTTGGACCCATTATTGAGCATGTGTGGCTTTTGCTAGCAAGAGGGTTTAAGAAGTTGAAATGTTCACCAAAATAGCAACAATGCTCAGTTAGCAGCTATTCTTTGCCCATCTTTTTGTGTCACTGAAAACAGCAATATTTTTTCTTTTTCCTAGATACTTGATCTGAGGCAAGTCAAGGAGTCAGTAGGTTGAGCCTCATCCCAAAGCTGTCACAGGCTAAAGTAATTTCTTATGGAACCCTCGAATGTACCTCTCCTACAGCATGCCTGTTATACATTTTGTTTGGTGTCACATGTAGGAAAATAAATAATCTAATGAGTAGAATAAAATAATAGCACTAGCACCGGTAATTTCTAAAAAATATAGAGTTAGAATAGTGGTTGAATTCTTAACGAATTGCTGTACTTCATCCATTCCCTGCTGGCTTAGTGCAAATGTGTTTTTCTCTGTGTTGTGTGAGCTTCCCTTGCAACCTGTGGCAGTCCTTCCTCTGTAACATCACAGAGGACCTCCCCGCTGTGTCAGATTTTTCTTGATAAATCTCAGGAAATGGGATGCTGCTCAACTGGCAACTGTAAGGGCAACCTGGCCAGATTTGCCTTGACCAAAGCATGTGAAGCACTAATTACCAAACTTTTCCATCATTGCAGCTCTTTTTGATTTTTGAGACCCTTTTCTTTCTCCATTTCTCTTTTCACACCAACCTACTCCCTTTTAAAAGAAATCAATTTGAACATCAACCACAAAAATTTAGTAAACATTATTTTAAAAAGCAAGCACAGATAGATTTTACCGGCAGAAGAGGTTAGTAAAAAAACGGAATTTAGGGAACCAGTAGAAATGGAGCAAATTTAATGTGAAAGGTCTTGCTCCATGTCAGATTCCCTGTTGGAATTTCTTCAGCTCTCTATCAAGACCTCAGTACAGTATAGGTATCAATAGCATCAAGTCACATCTTCCTTTCCTCTTCTGTATTCATAACATTATAGTACTGCAGTGGGTTTACAGTTCCGGAAAGTGATCATGAGAATGAAGGCTTAGAACCTTGAAATTCACTGTTGCATTTTAGTAACATTTTAGTTGAGACCCTTGGCCATGCAGACATTTCGAAAACTTTATTTCCCCATATGGTTTTGTTATGGCCTTTAAAGTTTTACCGAATGGCACTCTTTTCTCTGCAGAGATGGGAAAAGACAATTTACATTCCCTAATGCAATGCTACCAGTTACTCCTCAAACTAATTATTTAAGTTTGCAGTCTCCTTCTTGGAACTATACTTTTACTGCAGATCCTGAAGCTACGTTTAGCCAGGATGATTCTTGGACTTTTCTAATTCTCCCTTAGCCTTCAAGTTCTGCAATGCTCAGCCTGATGAAGAATTCTGCAGAACTCAAAATTTTGTTTATGATACTTAAGAGATACAGTACAAGTACTGTATTCATCAGCTATTTTTAGATCAGCTATTTCTTTTTGGTTTCTCGTAAGTTTGCATGTTTCTCATTGTTTCCTCAAAATTCTGTATAGACTCTCACATGAAAACCTCATGTTGCTAAACACCATCAATCTTCTGTAGCTCATACCCTCAAGCAGCATCTGGCTCTAGATTGGTTAACCTTAGGTCATGTTAATCAATCGCCAAACCTTTGTTAGTTTTCCACAGGTTTACAGCCACCTCTACTTTGTTCTCTTTTTTAAAAAAGGTAAAAAGGAAGGTCTACCAACTTAATAGGAGTGGCGCTTACAAAATGGTGGCAGAGAAAAAGAATCAGCTGCTTAAATCATTCCACGAACCACATAAGAATTCCCCTGCATATGCAGATATAATTACTTGCAGATCAAGAAGTCCAAAACACAGCTGTAAAGCTGACCAAGACATTCCACAAAGAAGTGGCCCAAGAAAACTATTAATACTCACAAGAAGCTCTTAACACGAAGCTAATCATAGCAGGGTTTTTTCCCCCTTTCAAATCCATACCTAGCTGATGTTAAATTTTTGGGAAGAAGTCAGGAGCTGTTTTTCATCCATAGAAAATTATCTCTAACACACCCTCAAAATGTCTTCTAAAAATGAAAAAGCCCAAAGGGGTAAAGGTTCAGACTTGGGGATTCATGACGTCTGCTTCTTGTGAACTCACTGTGAAATATCTGTTTTTTGAGAGTTATACCTATCTTTGTAACACATTGTGTTTTATTGTGCTTACCTTGGGTGCCTGGGCTGAAAGGCAGAATATAAATGTATTGTAAATAATGGGAGTGAGACTGCTGCTTAGTGGTAGAGCAAAGGATTTACATGCAGAAGCTCCCAGGTTCAAGACCCAATATCTCTAGGTAGGGCTAGGCAAAACAGAGATCTGCTGTCAATCAGTGAGCAGTCCATGCTGAGCTAGAGAAACCTGTGAGGTGACTCAATAGAAGGCAACTTCATTGTTATCCTAAACAAAATAGTTGGAACTAAGCACCACTGCTTTCAAAGTGACTTGCTTCCTCATTCCCAAAGGCTTTTGGTTTGGCTGGTAAAGTTATCACCTTAGGTTGGGTTTTGGAATTTACTTCCTGGCAACATGATTAACCCTGCTATTATTTGCCTACAAACAATGTATTTTAGATTGGGGTGACTTTTCCTTTGGGGGAGATGTCTGATAGGTATGGGTAAGAACTAGTACTACTACTGCTACCTCTTCTTCTTCCTCCTCCTCAGTAAGAACATCCAAGAATTGTTTGGCTTTGTTCAGAAATTCAGTACAAGGAGCCTGAGGTTCAAAAGAGCTCAAGTGGGGGGAAAAGGCAAGCTTGACAGATTTATCCATACATGCAGAGTATGTATGTATGTATGTATGTATGTATGTATGTATGTATGTATGTATGTATGTATGTATGTATGTATGTATGTATGTATGTATGTATGTATGTATGTATGTATGTATGTATCCGTTCATTTGTTTGTTTATTGCAATTTGGCTTCAAATCCTTGTCTATTCAGCAGCATTTGTAATGCTGATTTAGGGCTGCCACTAGAAGTGTGGAGTCCAGAAACACACCTCTGCAGATCTTGAATTGCCACCTCTTCTTCTAAGCAGGTTCACTGTATTTTACAGTTATATGGCAAGGAGGTGCAACATGATTCTCTCCATATTGTGAACAGTAGCGTCTACTGAATTTGCTTAGTGGAGATAGCTGAGATTTTTTATTTCAGACATTTTTTTTAACTTAATTTTTGACAAGAGCTTTTCAAAAAAACCCAAATTAAATGTCAAGAAATTGAGATTTTTTAAAAAACGAGGTGGAATAAAATGAAACTTGCAGATCTATCCACTGATAGATGCCATTCTAATGAAATAAATTGTTAACAACTATGTTTATTGTTATCACTGCCCCTTCGATTCTAATGGTGCCCTGATCATGATTCCCTGATTGCATATAGTCCCCATCCCTTGCTAATTAGATTCCAGAAGAAATCCCTTTGGTCTAATGCTTTACTGTTGTCCTTCCTTGTCAAGTGGAGAGACACAGATGTTGTATTTTCTTGCTCTAATAAAGTATTCACCTTGCTTACTCTCTGCATCCTAACAGCTCTCTGGAGAGGGCTAAAGTGTGCTTAAGCATACTGTAGAGGCTTATTCAAAATGTCTCTGGTGTGGGCAATAATGTGAAATGTTCAATCTTTGCCCTGTCATTTTAGGCTGGCATGATTCGCACCGACAAGGACGAGTTTTTCATTGAACCTCTTCAGAAGGGGAAACAGGAGGAGGAGGAAGGTAGGACCCACGTGGTGTATCGCAGGGCAGCAGTTGCCAAGAAAACGCTCCCCAGTGAGCCCCCAGATATCCAGCATCGAGGTAAGCCTGCGATGTTAATCGCAAGTGATGTTTAAAGCTCAAAAACAAGTATATGTCCCAAAGCCTATATAATTGTTAAGCTACGACTGCTGCTGTGTCCTTGGTGAGAGATGTTTCTTCTTTCTTGTTACTGAGCTTCAGCTTTCTCCATGTGGATGAAATGTTGCTGCACTGTCATAAATTGGTCATGCAGCATCAAATTCATATTGAAGTGAATGGAGGGGGATTAAAAAATGGTTAGGGGGCTGTATGTACCTTGCATATCATGTGTTGCCTACCCTGTGTACCCTTGCTATAAAGTGGCCTCAAGTGTTCTGCTAGAGGAGAAAAGGTTTGACGGACCTGCTGAATGAACATCCTACCCATTATTTTAAGATCAGAGCCACCTGTTAGTCAGAAAATAAAAGTGGTAAATAAAAATACAGCACTGTACTGAGTGCACAGTCCTGTGGAACTGCTAGGTTTTTGATCATCCAGATAAGGAGGCATCCATAAGAAGAAAGAATGGCAAAGTGATTATAGGTAGCAGTGGTTAAAATACAGGGGGAAAGGGCAGCACATGTGTGCAATTATATCATAAAGCAGTTGTTGCAGTGCTGTTGTGACCATTCATTGCAGAGTTGTGCAATGTAAATGTAGATTCTGGCTAGTTTTATTGGTGTGGTACATACATAGCACTGTGTTTGAACAAGCATTTACCAACCTGCATGGAAAACTGCTCCTAGTAATATAATAGGCTGCAAATTGCAGGAAGACTTAAGGACTGACAGTGCAATACAGTTCTGATATTACAACACAGTAATTAGAGTGTTTGGACATGGCAAGGTGTTTTATCCTAGGAGCGTGTTGGGGAATGGCTTTGTGACATTATGGTTTATCATGGATGCTTTAGAAGTGCTTGTCCTTACAGGAGTGCAGAGATTCCTTCCAGTTAGGTCTAAGTTTGTAACTTTATCCAACAGAGTGATGCTGACTTTGAGTAGGAGAGAAATGTCATGAGCCCCTCACCTCTACTGCACAGATGTATGATAATCTAGAGCTGGAAAACATAGTGTTAAGACTGCAACTACCAGGACACAGACAAACACACAGAAAAGACTAAGGGGGGGGGAGAGAAAGCACATGGCCACTGGCCATGATACTCAGAGGATTCTGCAAGCTAACTTCCAGATGGCATCTTCCCCAAAGATTGAATCAGACAAATCCTCTTTTCATGTGATTTATTTCCTCAGGTAATGAGGGCAGATTTTGCATAAATAGACCCTTCACCCACTCGGCCTAAGGGTGAAGAAAGCAACACTTATGCCAATTTGCACAGTGGAAGAAATTGGCTTCTGGTGCTTGACCGTCACACTGCTTCAGCACCAGCTCCTGATGAATGTCTCAACCTGTCCATTGTTATAGCTGTGCAGCCGGTGATGAAAGGACATTGATTGGCTTGAGTTTGTGCCAAGAACAATGTGCTGGGTACCATGCAGTTGGGTTGCCCATGTAACCAGCACATATCTAAGATACAGTCATTTGTTCTAAGAACCACTGATGTGTTAGCAATATGTTTATGCAGATTAGTTCATTGTTAGTAAAATATTTAACTGCCACATTTTTTTTCTTCTGAATCAAAAGGTCTGGAACATAAGTCCCACTTTATGGCACTACTTTTAAAAATCTTGTTTAAGATATTCTTGGAATATAAACAAAACAACAAATTGTTCAGACATTGGTACCGTGTCCTCTCAACATTCTTTAGAAGCAACAGATTGGAAAGGATATACAAGGTGCAGAAGGTAGCTGAATCTGTTGCAGAGTTACTTAAAATTAGCTCCCATTTATAAACCTACAGTTGACCAAATTTAATGTGCTGAAAGCTCCTTCTCTCACAGCTAAGATAAATGGCCTGAGGACAACTGTGGCACTAAATAATCTCAGCATGTTTTTACAAATTGCTATGAAATTTCAACAAGGAAAGCAGGAATGGTCCTGGTGAATTAGACCAAGAGCGTCTCTAGTCCAGCCTCTTACCCAGTTCAGCTGTTATACCTGAAAACATGTGCAGGGCAAAAAGGGTGGTGGGGATGGAGGTGTGTCAATAAGTCTCACGTTTGTCTGCTCCCCACTTGGAAGTCACAAAGACCTTCTCATGAGGAACATAAAGGTCTGAAGTAGTGACTGTAAGCCTTTTAGTGACCTTTTCCAGGCTTTTCCAGGTACAGAGTACTCAGATGTGAGCTCACCATTCCCTTCTTCTTAGAGTACACTGGGTCTGTGGAACTTATCAAAGGCTACACTGTCTGCTTTTCTCTTAGGGAGCACAATGGGGCATTAAGCTCCCAACCTATTACCTAACTTAGTGAGCTGTCCAGCCATCAAGTGCTGACATCCCGTTTAATCATTCAGCAATTGATTAAACAAATCTGCTCTCTAAATTAAATTAGCAATAAGATGTCCATGGCTGTCCATGACAAATTGATGAACCATATCCCTTGAAAAATGTCAAGAATAATTAAAGCCATACCGGCCTGTGAACATTCGTGGTTAAGAAGAACCCCATAGGCATATTGAAGAATTGATGTCTTTTTGTTAATGGAGAATTTAGCTACCTCCGTTTCTGTGCTCAACATTGTACAATTTTTTCCCTGTGCTTCAGCGACACAAACATCACCTTTCTATATTTTCTTTTTACATTTTGATCATTCTTCTGTAAGGAGAAAGGGCAAAAGTACCAGCAGTCTGTGATCCGAGTTTGGAAGCCTGCCTCACCCTGTCACATTTAGGTTGGGTGTCCTGCTGTTTGGATTGCAAGGTGCCCCTAAGTTGAAAGGAAGCATGAGGTTATAAGTATTAAAGGAAGCATTTGAAAATAAATCCTGCCATCTGTATCAGTGGAATACTGATACTTTAGTAGACCAAACTGTAGTTTCCAATTTGTGTAGGCTTTCAAAATCTCCACATCTCTCCATTAGGCAAGATGGTACAAAAAGAAGGTTGTGGTGGTAAATGAGGGAAGGATGGCAGAATCAATACTAAAATCATGAATATTCAGAGATTTGAAATGGCATGTGAGAGGAAGGGTCTGTATCTATTGAAATTAGGCTCTAGCAGGTGGTACAATAACTTCAGATTCCAGAGCCAATACTGGGAGTACTGGGAGTGGGAAAGGAAGCAATCTTATCCCCTCTCTTACTGGAATAATAAAATCCACATGTTATCCACATGATAACATGATAACATGATGGACATGTTGTCCATCATGGGCAAAACATCAGCGGAGAAGAAAGAGGAAGTTGGCAGTGTTTAAATTGACAAGGATGGAGATAATTATGGAGGTATCAGGGGTTTAAAAACAGTCAAAGTTTAATCTCGTTATTGTAGTGGAAGAGCATTTGGAAATTAAAGCTCGAGAAAGGCCTGCCTTAAACCGAATAGGTTTGAAACTATCAGATGCCTCACTTGGTGAGAACATACTTGAGCAGAGCAATCTGATGCCAAGAACCTGGATGAGTATCTTTCCCTGATCCATATGTTCTCAGCTGGCCCCTGCATTCCACAGTGTATGAAACTGGGTTGTGTCTGTGCCACAGAATTTGGGCTCCCTCAAAACATTAGGCATCTCCAGAGAACCTTTCACATCAGTGTCATCTTCCAGACCCATTCCCTTTTAAAGAAATGGAATGTGCTTGAAGAGAACATATGCTAATAGAATGGCGCAAGATTGTGTCAAGCTGGAGATAATTTCATCTTTAATCAAAATGTTTTTATGGGTTTAAGGAGAAAAAGAAATCCATCTTTGCAGAGCAAACTGTCTGTGGTCTAATGGGAGTAAGAGGCTAAAGGAGATAAAATGTCCAGTATTTCTCACACATTCCTTTTTATCGTAGACTGTAGACATCAGAATGTCCTAACAAGCATCATTATTAACTGTTCGAGTACAACACTGATGCATAGTTATGGAATGTAATAATATCTAGCAAAATAAAGTGGGACATTATCCACTAATATATAGCTGAAGGACATGGGGGAGAGAGCTGATTATTTCCCCACTTTTCCGCCAGAACAATTGCTAATTCTTTTATTTTATATTTTATTATTGATCTTTAACTGTCTCAATGTATGAGACAATTCTTGTATACTCTGTCCTGAAAGTTTTATTTTGATATGTGTCATCAAGTCAGAACTGACTTATAGGGACCTTAAGAGGTCTTTCAGGGTAAATGAGATATTTAAGGAGTGGCTTCAGTGGGCTTCCATGGCAGAGCAAGGTTTCAAATCCAGGCCTTTGGATTCCTAGTCTGTCACTCTATACAGAACACCACACTGGCTATCAGGTATCCTGGCAGTAATTGCCCTTAAACTGCATGGAACGTACTTCTGAGTAGGCAAGCATATGATTCCAGTGTTGATAACCAGTTACTTAAACTGCTTTAGTCAATTTGTGTGCACACATATTAACTTTCTTTTTTATTTGAAGAAAAAAATAATTATGCATTATCCCACCTTTTTTAGAAAATGCAATGGGGTAGAATTAAAGATAATTAATGAGTTGCTCTGCCTGGAGAGGGGTTCATCATTGTTTAGTTGTTCAGTCATGTCCGACTCTTCGTGACCCCATGTACCAGAGAACGCCAGGCCCTCCTATCTTCCACTGCCTCCCGGAGTTGTGTCAAATTCATTCTGGTAGCTTCGATGACATTGTCCAACCATCTCAACCTCTGTCATCCCCTTCTCCTCTTGCCGTCACACTTTTCCAACATCAAGGTCTTTTCCAAGGATTCTTCTCTTCTCATGCAATGGCCAAAGTATTGGAGCCTCAGCTTCAGGATCTGTCCTTCCAGTGAGCACTCAGGGTTGATTTCCTTTAGAATTGATAAGTGCGTTCTCTTTGCAGTCCAGGGGACTCTCAAGAGCCTCCTCCAGCACCACAGTTCAAAAGAATCAATTCTTCGGCGGTCAGCTTTCTTTATGGTCCAGCTCTCACTTCCATACGTCACTACAGGTAAAACCAT